TGTGTATATATATATATATATATATATGGTAATCTTACTTTTTGATGTGACTGTAAAAAGTATTGCCTAAAGTTTCATTTTTTAACTATCTGATTTAGAATATGTAATTGATTTTTTATATCGATGGTAAATCAGCAGACTAATTCTAGTTAGTTATATTAAGTTTATGGATTCCTTTGGATTTTATATCGATTTGATCACATCTGCAAATAGTGCAAGTTTTGTTCTTTCCTTTCAAATACTTAGCCTTCTAATCTTATTTTACCTACCACATTGGCTAGGACCTCAGCACAGTGTTGAATAGAAATAGTGATAGAAGCATTACTGCCTTATTCCTGCCGTAGAGAGAAAGGTTTCATTGCTTTGTTCTTGAGTGTGATGGTTTTTTGCAGATGCCCTTTAAAAGATTAAGGAAGTTCCTACTATCCTCGTTTGCTAAGAGTTTTTATCATGAGTGGATATTTACCTTTATCAGGAACTTTTCCAGCATCTATTGAGATAAGGTTTTCTCATTTTATCTGGCAATGCAGAACAACACATTGGTTTTTGTAATCGCACTATTTGCAAAAGACAAATCCTAGACTTGTATGTATAACTTCATACACAGCTTCAAAATATGAGCCTGCAGGGCTTAAGGATGGCAGCAGGCCGCATAAGCCAGAATTCAGAGTATTAATGTCTATCTTAATCTTTCAGAGCACAGAAGACTTTATGAACATCTGCATTGAACCCGACAGTGTCAGCAAAGGAGACTTCATCACTATAGGGTAAGTGGATTGCGATTTCATAACTGTAGATAGGTGGACTGGTTTGGAGGCAATGAGGCTGAAGTCGTTTGTCTTGTATCGTGTTCAGGTTGCCCATGCGCAGGATTTGTTTGGGAGTCACAGCATTCTTTGTTTCATTGGGTGGATATGTCTAGTGCTCCTTTCTCTCTGGCCTTCCCTGTTCATTTTGGAAAGATCGGAGGATGGGAACAGTCTTTGCCTTTCAGTTGAAATGAAAGAACTCAGTGTAGCATGGCACACAGTGTCTGGAATTTCAGCTTTTGGGTTGGAACTGCTGGATTCGGCCACTTTCTGGCCTCATGTTTTGGACAGATCCTTACCTCTCTGAATCCTTTTCCCTGTGTGTGGACTGGAGTAATAGAATCAGTGTTTCTGAGGCTCAGATGAATGTGGGAAAGCCTTTCTCATTGTGACAGACTTCACAGTATCACTGCAGTTTGTCAGTCCATTTGTCCGATTTTCTGGGTGCGAATGAAAAACCTGAAAAGGTATTGAGAACTTGGACATGTTCCAGGTTTCCCCTTTTCCACCACAAAATACCCTTCCAAGCCCTGTCTGATTTGTTAAGCCCTACTGCTGCCAGGGTTTTATTAAGAATGCTCTCGGCCCTCCCCCATCTTCACAGCCTCTGCGCAGCGCCTGTTACCATGCCCACTGGTAATCTGCTCAGCGGTGTTTTCTGTGCTTTGGCTCAGAGCTCCCTCTCGTGCCCATTGAAGGGTTAGGCATTTCCCTGCAGCAGCTGGGTCTCCATGGCTATCTCATTATCTGCACTGGTAGTGGCAGCACAGTGTTTTGCCTTTGCTACAAATTCTTCAGGTGCTGAACAGCTGCTTCTGCAGCCTTGGTTTACTTGCTATATCTGTAGCAAAAGGAAGAAGGAAAACCATTTCCTTCCTCTGTAAAGTGTGCAGAAGCCACACAGTGACTTAAGAGTCTGACCAGTGGGGCCAACAATATTCAAATCTCCTTTAGTACTGACCTCCAAAAGCAGAAAGAAAAACCGATCATTTTGCTTAAGTGAAGTCATTATGCTCCTCATTACTGCTAGCATCAGCAGCAATAGCACGGTCTCCTTTTGGTTTCTACAGGAGGTGAGGTCGGGTAATGTCTGTCTCCTCCAGGTATCTGAATAGGACATTGTGGAGTTGCTCTAGCAAACTGATTACTGTTGTCAGTTAATGAAAAAGAATGGACTAATTTGCTTGGATCAGGTTTTGTTCTTTTTCTACTTCCCATGACTAGCTGTGAAGGGGGGACTGTGTGTGGATAGTTATTTGGATAGTGGACTCCAACACCATTTAGCATGTATCATGCTAAGTAGGCAGTTCATATGGAGACTCAGCAGAGAGCTTAGTGTAAAATGGATGGTTCATATACGGTGTGTGTGTGTGTGTGTGTGTGTATATATATATATCCTAAATTAAGTTTCTCCTTTAAGAGTTGACTCACAAGAAGTACCAAATAACAGAACTTTAGTACTTTTCCTAAATAATTTAATCTCATCCTAATTTTTGGATTTGGGGTTTTTAACAGCCCAAGAATTGGGTACATGTGGACTATTTAAAATTAGGACTAACGACACGACATGCCCAGCTCTCTACAGCAAGTAGACCTCCTCAACCCAGAATGCTGAGCAAGAGTTCTCATGGGAAAAATTACAGAACCCCACGGTGTTCAATGGATGAGTCCTTCACCTCATCAAAAAACAGAAGGAACTTGCTACGTTCCTGCAGTCTAAGGCAGTCACCAGTACTAGTTTCCAAGCTTGCCTTTTCCCCTAACAGAAGTAAAAAGGTACGAGACCCCAAGCTGCGTCCTGAGGGCACCGAGTGTCTCCAAGCCAGCCAGTGCACCCTGGTCCTGCCTGAGGTAAGCGGCTTGGCTGGGCACAGCTCTCAGCTCTTTCTTCCTCTGGGCTTTCCCTCTCCTTTAGGGACCTGGGATGTGCTGAGCACTTTGCCAGGCTCTGCGTCATACAAGGGAGACCTGGAAGACGACAGAATCAGTGTTTTTAAGCCAAGGTTCTCTAAAGTGATCGTTCAGCCTCCTGAACTTTCCCGATATGTAAATTATGCAAAGCGTTACTGTATTATCACACCCAGAACATTCTCAAATGTTAACAGTGGATTCTATCTTCACACTTGTCATGAAGGATCTGGAAGCAGTTTTCAGAATGGCACTAAGTTTTTCTGAGAAATGCCAAGCCTCTGAGAATAATCTATGTAAGTGGGAAAAAGCTGGAAATTCCATCTCAGTTGTAAGGTTATTGTTAGTGATGCCGCAGGAGACAAGCTGCTGCAGACTGCCCTGCTTTCCCCAGGAAGGACTGCAGTGCCCTACAGTTTCAACAGAAACGTCGAGTTAAATGCATTGACAGGGAAAAGCTCTGTAGACTCTGCAGTGGTGCTTGCTACACCTTAAGTACAGAGCTAAGCAAATCCTAAAGGGAACCTTGAACAGTCAGGTGGACACACGATGGCTCTCCTAGGGGAATGTGCTGTCTTGCTCACTTCTCCTTTAAGAAAGACTGGGGCAGAGGAGGACCTGCAGCATGACTATGTTTATGAATTCCTTCCTCCAAGATGTGGCAGGACCCCTGTCTTTTAATATATATTTGAACATTGTAACCTTGCTTCTCAAATCCCAAAATACTCTGGTAGGAGATAGAGATTAAAAAAATAACCTCTTTCATGGATGGTGGAATTGGGATATATTCAGAACCAGCATGATGCCCATAATAGACATTGAAATATTTTCCTAAAAGAACATTAGACTAAATCCTCAGAGGATGAATGACTTGCTCTGGTGCTAACAGGACTCTGCCAGGTGTGGTGTGAGCTGAACATTCTCTTCCTCACAGGGTACAGGGGGCTCCTTTAGCATCGACAGTGAGGAGTACGAGGCGATGCCTGTGGAGGTGAAGCTGCTGCCCCGGAAACTGCAGTTCTTCTGTGACCCGAGGAAGCGAGAGCAACTGCTGTCGAGCTCAGCCCCGTGAGCAGCCAGGAGACGGGCCCCCAGGACTGCACTGAGGCCACCAGTGGGACCAAAAGGGAACAAATGCCTCAGCTGTCCCCACAGTGTTGTCAGAGGATCCCCAGGGCATTTCCATGGCAAGTACCTCTGCCCTTCCCTCACAGTGCTTCCCGAAGTCTGCTCTGTCCACCTGCTTTCCATTAGCGCATGCTTTTGACTCTGAGACAGTCCTTCCCCCAGCTAAGTTCAAGGACACTCACACGCAGCGGCTGGAAGAGGACTAGGCTAGACTTTGTTATCTCCCCAAGTACAACTGCAGTGGCAAGCAGGCTCCTAGACTCCCTCCGTCTGTCTGTCCTTGGGCAACCCTAGGACTTCTGCCCCCCCGAGTCCTGGCTGCAGGCCTCCCCTGGGCGCTGCTTGGTGAGCTCTGACTTGGCTTGTTTCAGGTCGATTCTCAACCCTAAACTGTAGGTGAGGTGTTTCCCTCTTCAGCCTGGGCTGAAATACTGTAAAATACTTTTTGTTTAAGTAGTGTTTATTAAATGTTTTCAATGTTAGTTTGCATGACAACCAGCTGGGGTGCATGTTGAAAATTGACTTACTTAAGGTCCAACCCAAACTTACATAACTCAATCTGGATGGAGCCCAGGAACCTGCATTTTCCTGACAAGCAGCCTCCCTCCCCAGGTGATTGTATTCCAGGCCGTCCCCCAGCCTCACCTGGACAGTGTTGTAAAGCCGTGTACTTCCTAGAAGTTTTCCCAAAACCAGGTGTCCCGTCCCACTTGAAGTTGACATCTAAAATTTTTCATTGAAGTTGACATCTAAAATTTTTCATGGGAAGTTGCCAAAGCATGTACTTTCTGCTGTCCTGTAAATATTGATATTTTGAAATAAAATCCGTTACTTCACTCTTTTAAACATATCCATCCATTTACAAAAAGATACATTCTTTATTAGTTGAAAATTTTAAATTTTTTCTCCTTGTATGTATATTTCCATACTATTTCAGCAAAGAATGCTATCATAATGCAATCTATTTTTATGCTTGAATTTTTTAGTTCTTAAGTGTTAACTCAGTACAGAATAAATGTTATATTTATAAAATTGATAAAAGAATTTGATAATTAAAAATTAACTAATTTTAAGATTTAACTAATTTCATTAGAATGTTCTTTATCCAATTATTTCATTTATCCAAGAACACATATTATTTGTAGCTGAAATGGAATAGGATTGAACACTATATTCCTTGTTCCGTTTTTTATAGATTTAAGCACATAAATGAATTTGAAGAGCTGCACGACACTGTTATATGTCAAAAATCAGTGATCTGTTAACAGCTTGACGAGATCTCCCTTTAGTTGGCTGAAAGCAGAGAACTAAAAACTCCTAGCCTGCTAAGGATTTGTTAGCCAGTCATCTTCCTTTGCTTTTAATCTCACCATCACCCTTGTTCAGTGCCAAGTTTTGTACTCTAGAGGGCAAAGCACCTCAGTAAGATGGATGAGAAGCAGCCTTCTTTTATAAAGAGGAAGGAAAATTTTATAAAGAGGAAGGAAAAGTGGGAGGGGGACTGGCAGGCCTTAATCAGCTTCAGGGCAGCATGTATTTTAAAGCAGGCCATGTGGATATTTATAACATCATTCAGGGGCCATGCATAATTATCAGCTTAAAAAGTATAATTGGTATGAAAAAAAGCTCCTAGATTTATTGAATTTCTAGTCCCACCTACAATTACCTTGGCTGGGCCGGATCTCCCTCACCCCTGCTTTATAAAGCAGCTACGAAAAGCCGATGTGAGAAGAGCACAGAAAACAAGGCTTACCTATGACTTCTTCAGAGAGGTGTTTAAAACTGTGCTTCTGTCACCAGAAAAAAAGTAACAGGTGGGTCCGAACAAGCAGAGTGAGGATCACCTACTCACTGCCCATGGAGGGGAGGAGATGCTGTGGTAGAAGGAAAAGTTTTCACATGAGCCAGAGAATTGAGCACATCCTGATTCTAGAATAAAGGACCAGCCGGAATCTGGTAGGCAACCAGCATGTGTGTGTCAGGGCTTCTATTCCTTCCATCAAAATAATGGAACTTAGCATTGGGGAGGATATTTAATCCAGATTACTATTTTCAGTCACTTTAAATATAAATATGCCCTGATTTAAACTATATCCTGTGAGACTATGGTTTCCTTATCTCCTGCCTTGTCCTTCCATATAATGTGCATGCAAAGGCCATTTAGCCGTGCAGCTAGGAGAGGGTCATCCTTGTCAGCCACACCGGGATGCTGAGGCATCCAGAGAGCCCCAGTCCCTCGCCTCCTGTTTAGTACAAACCTCTGTCAGACCAACTCCACTCACAGGCTAAAGCTATTTCTATTAAATAACTTAATGGAAAGCCTTTGCATGCATGGTTATCGTTACTATGTGTCTGGTGCTTTACACAAGCAACTGATTGATTCAGTTCTCATAGCAGCCTTAGGAAGTAGGTAATGTCATGGTCATGTAGCTGGGAAAATAGGAGCCTGGCTTAAAAACACAGCAATGTTAGCAATTTACTGCCTATGTTTAAAAATCAAATAAAACTAAAACTTTCATGTCCACATACACACACACATGATATATATGTATCTCTCTCTCAATCATACATATACGTGAATATACATATAATATAGTAGAACATCTTAAAGTAACCTTTGGTGGGAAGAGACGTGAAACGGAAGGGCTGTGGTCTCTGTGGTGTCCTCCTCTAGAAGTCGTCTGATGGGATTGGGGTTCGAGGTGCTGGCTCCTCCGGATGGCAGTTATTCCGGCTTTGGTTCCCGTTACCTGGAGAATGTCTGTCCTTGGCCTCCAGGAGGACAGGCCCCAGCTCTCGGGTTTCCCACACTGTCGTGGGAAGTGAAGTCAGCGTGCAGCCGTGGGTTCTGCTCTTGCATTGGGCCGTCACTCCCTACTACAGACACATTCTTGGACCAGGTGAAGGACTGCGCACACGTGTTCATGTTAAAATGTGAATTTTAATTGTAAAAATTATTTTCTGTAAATATAGTTATATCAGCCTCTCTACACACAACTTGGTTCAGATATATACAGATATGATATACACAGATGTTATTTGTACCACAGAACAAAATCAATTCAAGAAACACTCTGAAATTCAGGATAATCCCAACTTTCTCTGGGCCTTTAAAATTATCACCATTGAAAACAGCAAGAATAACATACCTATAAGCAGTAGTACTCAGGGTAAAATTTATCAACTGACATACTGATATCATAAGATGAGGTAAAGATGTGAAACAAAAGTAGACTCAGTTCCTCTTATTGCTATAACTCTTATACTGGGGTGTTAATCAAAATAGGGGCTGGACATTTAAGGTGACAAGGGACGCTATGCTTTTCCTAACTTGCGAAAAATAGGAAAATTTTTTCCAAAGCTACAACTTTTTCAGAAAAGGTTTATTTCTCAGACCCACAAAAAGTTTAGCCCACAAGCTTGGGGTAAATAAAGGATGTTACTTTTGTTTTCTACCCTATACCCCTAACGGCCCCTCCCACCCTGTCTGACAAAAGCCCAGAATCTACACCTCCCCTCACTGTGGTCTTCCTAAGCACGCTAGACTGAAACACTTTTCCTGATGCCACTTCAAAAGTATGTTTATACTTTTATCTTTGCTTAATTTGCCCAGAGGAAGTTTTCACTCGAATGTCAAATTAGCAATCAACTAACTCAGTGACCTCTGTGTAGATTTGTCCTTTTTTGGATCATCTCTGGCCAATCTGTAATACCCTGCCCCGCCTTCCCAGCTATCCTTAGAAAGCAAACTGATCTTCAGTCTAACTGGGCTTTCCACCGCAAACAGGTGATTCACACTGACCTCCCATTAAGTAATTAAATCAAGTTTCTGAATGTAGGGCCTACTGCCTCTGAAAGCCCATGCTATGCTGAGCTTCTATAATAAACGGAAGAAATGAAAACAGAGCTTTACTTCCCCATCATTACTTATACAGCATTAGAAAATGCTGATTTCCTTTCTTAATGTGCAGCTTCATCCAGCTTCCCCTGTTCTCCAGCTCCAAGCGTGAGTTAAAGTGCCAGTTATAAAACTGCCTCCCACAGTCAAGAGGCCTAATCAGCATTATTCCATTTGCCCCCTTTGTATGAGAGTTTTACTTTAGGTTGGGGACTATATGTCACCCTCCCTAGGACTGTCAGGTCTATCTCCTACAGAGTGCTACTAGATTTCACAGTCCTGCCCAGCCAGGGTGGCCCAGTGGTTGGGCATCAATCCATGAACCAAGAGGTCACAGGTTCAATTCCTGGTCAGGGCACATGCCCAGTAGTGGGCATGCAAGGAGGCAGGTCAATGTTTCTCTATTCCTCTCCCTTCTCTCTCTAAAATGAATAAAAACATATGTATAAGAAAAAGATTTCACAGTCCTTGTTCACTCTCCAAAACATCTAAAGTCATAAAACTTTTATGGGGTCTCAGTTGCTTCTAAATTCCCAAACTGCCCATTTCTTCTAGGATTACAGTTTGGAAATTTCCTTCCATTCTAACATCTGCATACTCATTTCATCACACAGTAATATTGGTATAAAAATAAACTTCCATTTCTTATAAGAAAAAACATTAACTTAATTCACAGTTAGCCTTTCCCCATAATACTCAGTACTCCACTGGCTCCTGGGAACAGAGGTATATTAGTAACACAATGGAATATTAAAAATCCACAACTTGGGAGTAAAAGGAGCTCTTAACTCCTTCTCTTCTGCTACCTGAATCAGAAAACGGTTTTCCTGAAATGTGTGTGTGTGTGTGGGGGGGGGATAAGCATCTGGGTCTGCAGGATCCTCACTGGCTGCAGGACATGGTGGAGCTGAGCAGAGCAGGGGAAAGCCCGGGACTGGACTTTTCTTGGATCCTCCGCCCACTAGCGAGGAACCTAACGGAGATAAAGCTGTGCATGCGTGTTGGTCCCCAGATTAACTTTCTTGCTGTTTTCTGTCATCACACTAAGGCAAGTTCACTGCCAATCAGAACACTGTCTTATGATTTCCTCCCCTCCTGTACCTCTGCAAGAATGAGCTGCTCTGGGCCTGGAGAAAGCATCTTAGTCCATTCCCTGGGCCTTGTCGTTTCATAAAAAACACACCAGAAAAACAAAAAAAAAAGGTCCCTGAGGTCCGGTCCGGCCTCTTCCCTGGAGGGTTCCTATACCACCATTAAAAGGTTAATTTGTTACTGCCCTTTGCAAAAGTTTCCCTAAAGGCCTCAGTTTAAAGGTGAATAATCTCCTCTTTTTATTGTGCCCGAAGGGCTCAATGTATCAAGACAAATAGCTGGCTCCTCCTCCTCGCCGCCAGCAGGAGAAACAGTGATTCAGCTGTGATTTCATTGAGCTTTGTCTTTATCCTCTAGCTAAAATATCACAGGCTGTTACACTGATAAATGAATCTTCACACACGGTATTTAGAATTACCTACACCCTGTGCTACACTTAAATTCCCCATCTCGACTTTCACATGGAACCAAACAAGGTCAAGTTATAGATGCAAATTCCTATGCTAACTTATTTCCACCAATAAATACATCCATGAATTTGGCTTCCCTGCCCCAGCCAACTGCAAGAAGAGGTGTCGCATGGATGAAGGATTTGGGAGGCACATGCCTCCTAACTCATGGAGTCACAATTTACTGAGGCCCAGGGCCCCAACTGGGCAGAACGTCATGCTCCACGAAAGCCAAAGCAAATTCTCAACAAACAACGTGGCCCAGACTTTTCAATTGGCAGGAGATAAGCCCGACCATTTCTGACTCCTTCCAAAGGCAGTCCCGAGCTAGAGGACAACTGGACATGGTCGCAAAGGCTGACTACTGCCATCTGCCAAGCCTGCAAACTTGAAAAACCCACTTTAACATCAGTAACCCCCACGCCTGGATTAGGCCTCACCAGGATTCTCGCAACCTGGAGTTTCTTCCAACGCGACCTCAGGATGTCAGCGCAGCCCAGGAGTCTCAGGTCAGCAGTTCCCAGGATGGTTCACGGCTCCCAGCACGACACAAGCTCAGGCTGAAAGTTGCCCAAGGGACCCGGCCATCGGGGACAGCGAGGGCTTGCTCCAGCAACAGCCCTCAGTCAAGGGGCCACACCCCAGGTTAGGTTTCCAACAGGTTCCAGGTCAGTGGTCTCCATAGGCTTCCCAGCTTACAGACCGGGAAGGCAGGACCTCAAAGGATGCTCACCAACATCTTCCAAACGAAAGCGATGGTTTCTCAGTATGTCAACAGGGACGGAAAACCAAACCCAGGTGGCTTCCAGCTTCTGCCGCCGCCACCCAAGGATTCCTGCCTCAGACCTCACAAACTCATTCCCCTTCTAGGAAACAGGCAGCGAATCATGCTGGGCTGGGCTGCCCACCCGAGACAGTGGGGAGGAGGCAGGGGGATGGCAGTCAGGTCCACAGCAAGGTGAACCTCCACATCTCAATCGAAGCAAGAAATGCTCAGGAGATGACAAACTGCGACAAAGGGAATACAGAGCCAGTGTGCACGCTGGTCAGCCAAGCAGAGGTGGCACCACACCGACTTTCTAGTCCCACGAGGAAGCGGCAGGGCGGAGAAGGCCGGCAGGGAGGGGACAGACAAGTTCCGCTTTGGGGTCAGCTGGGGCCAGGTTCCCCATGACCTAAGACATGGCACAGCCTCATGTGTATGTTCCCCACTGGGGCACCCAGACCCCAGCCCTCTGCATGGCATGAGGGTGGACGCACGGACATGCCAGACAGATGGCTGCCCACAACAGTGGAGTTGAGCGAAGCCCAGAGCCCCTGACCCACCATTCAAAGGGAACTCCAGGAGCCTCATTTTCACCCCACCACCTGTACCTCAGCACTTCTAAGCTCCGAGTTTACAAGACCACAGACACAAGTGTTCGCATGCACAGACTGGAGCCGAAAGGCTGAAAAAGCATTCTTCCAACACACTCCCCAGTTCCACGGAAACAGCGTCTGCCCGTGTCCTCCACAGGAATCTGCCCTGTCCTTCCACCCCCACTCCTGCTCCGACCACCCACCCCCAGCTTTGCACCCCTGAACCTTCCGCACACCACCGACAGTAACCAGGACTCGGCCTGTGAGAAGGCCGTCCCGAGCTGAGAGAGGGCGCTCCTCTAGGAAAACGGCAGGGCAGCTTCCGCTTGCACACGGATGTTTTCTTCTATAAACACACATACTATTGACATGACTGCAGGGAGAGAAATGTACTGCACAGTCTACATTTCAATGCCCACACTTATTTACATATTTACAGAAAAGGCACTGCCCTGATGACTCGATGCCTGTTGGCGGTCCCACGCATGCATTTCTGTAGCCTTGAATTCCTTCAGGAGGAGCCACAGTGAAAACAGTGAGTCACGTGACTCACCCATTGGAAGGTTATTTCTGCTGTGTGCATTAGCCTGGCCACAGACACGATACACCGATGGCTATTCCAGTAACAGCCAGGCAGGAAGGGGGTAGGGGAAGGAATTATTTCCTTAAGTCAAAATCCTAAATTACGGCCCTAAGACTACTCACAGGCGCCGGCTTCCTATGTCACAATCGCTACCTCACCGAAGCTGACATCCATCGAACGCCCAGCCAAAGCAAACAGGCAGGGACGAATGGGAGCTGTCCGGACTGAAACCTCTGAGAGGAAAGCAGAAACTCACCTGATACTTGGGTTCCCGAACGCTTTCCCGGGAAAGGCACTGTCATATTTGCTAACAAACCTGATAGGTCCCTGTCCCCAATTACTTAACTCAAGGAACGTCCTCTCTGCAGGAGGAGCTCTGAGGCTCCATGCCAGCCCGTGCTCTCAGCTCGGTGTTAACCAGCTCAGATCCCGGCTGGATTACAGAAGCCAGGGAGGCTCTGCTTTGATCGGAGTCTCTCCTGGTCACGCCTCCGGAGGGCTCACCCGGATGAAGGAACATCTTCTATCCTGCACCTCAATTCCTCCATCTTTGGGCAACAAATGCTACTCCTTAAAAATACCCAAATTATTCCAAGAGGATGGGTAGCCCTTAAAGGAGACTGAATTGGAAAATGGATTTGCCAACCCATCCCGAGAGGGGGATTCTGAGGAAGAGGACTACTGCACTGAGTGGCCGCCAAGAACTGGGAGGAGTCTCAGCTGACTGACAAGGAGCCTCTCCCTGTCGCCCGGTCCCAGGAGAAGCTCGTACTCGGGGTCGGAAACATCCTTCTGTCCCACTCAGATCTCTACTCACAGGAAGACACAGGTTTGTCCTAATAAATAGGAAAATGGATCTGACCCCTAGACTGGACTCTCAGAACTGATGACCTTGAAAGGTCACCTGGTCTAGCTTCCGCCACGGGGGACACCCATGACCACACTTAGGGAAGACGTGGTCTCATCCTTGAATCCATCGTGGGCCGCGGGCCACAAAGAGTTCCGGAACAGTCCACCTGTGTCTCCAGAGATCAGCCCACTCCTAGCGACACCTGGCCTTTGCCGCATCTCAGGGCATCCAACAAGGAGAGGAGAGAGTCAACGCTGATGAGAACACCCGAGACCAAAGCAGGCAGCAACTCTGGGAGAAGGCGGCAGACTCCAGCGTCCAGCACACAAACCACGGCAGTCTCATCTCACCTCTCCAGAGCAAGGGAAGAACGGCGATTGCAAAAATTACAAAAATTACATCAGTTGGGAAGTATAAACAGTATCCCTGTGTCCACTTAATAAAAAGTGAGCCCTCGGGGCCTGGCGGAGTCCCGCAAGCAGCTCACCAGCCCGGCTCCCCTCCTATGGGCAGCAGGGGTTGTCGATGACCAACATGACGTCGATGCCGTAGGCCTCCAGCAGGTCCATGAGGAAGCTGCGGTCGCCCTGGGGGTCCAGGCCCATGCCCCGCGCATGCTCGGCTGTCAGAGTTTTGTCCTGACTGGCGGACACCTCCAGCAGCGTCTGGAATATCCGGTTGTTTTGTTCGAGGAAAAACCTGCATTTCCGAGACAAGACACAGAAGAGGGAGGGCAGAAAAGACAAGAAGCTCACCAGAGAGTCCACGCCTGGGGAACCAGCCCACACTGTCTGGTTGAATAAACCTTTCAATGGTTTCAAAAAATCAGAAATCTCTTTTAAAAAGGAAACAGAACCAAAGTTAAATGGGAGGGTTATTCAAGTACGACTAAGATTTGCAAAGAAAACACTGGCATTAATCCCTGTATGATCAGGGGAATCTCTGAGCAAGTGATGGCCTGCTGGGAGGGGACCAGAAGGTTAAACATGGCCTGGGGGGGTAGGGCGTGCTGTGTTCCTCTCTGTGCTTAGTCACAGGGGAGTTAAGACAACGGAGCTCCAGTTCTGAGATCAGGACCTTCAGAGAGAAACAGATGCACCTTCTGGGCCTGGGCTGGGTAACAGCGGCAGCAGGAGGCTCTGAAACGACTGACACCTGGGCCTCTGCAGGCCTCGCTGGCCCACACGGATGCCCATGTTAAAGGTGCAGCTCGGAGGAGCTGGGGCGGGCATGGTGTGCTCTGAAACCAGCAAGGCTGCACATGACAGGTGAGGGAGACACCGAGCCACGCTGCAGGAACCAGCACTGCCACAGCTGACCATCATCCTTGGGGTCTGTTTCCCTTTGATTACTTTTTAAAAATTATTCACAGAGCATGCTCTCACGTCACTGATTTGTAGAACCACACGAATATATGAACTGTGCCCAGAGAAGGCATTCGGTGTCCAGGCTGCTCGGCTGGGTCCCACAGTGCTCTCGGGCGGGCTCTGCAACGGCGCCTCATGGCCAAGGACGCTGTGGACGCCCAGGAACTCCAGGTACCAGGGAAGATGTCAACCCTTGAGGAGACCACTCCCAGGTACTCTGACACCTCAACAGCTTTAAGTGGGCGCTAGAAGGTACACTTTCTCTCAGGATCACAGTCCTGCACTTTGTTGAAATATCAATATTACATTTTCAACACCAAAGCCAGAGAGGGTTCTCACTGCAAGCTGTCCCCCCTCCTCCCCCCGATCCAGGATGGGAGCAGGGAGACCACACCCCAACCAGGACGGGGCAAAGGTCTCCTCACTGAGCACTAGTTCAAAGCTGCTCAGGAATGAAGCCGGTGCTCTGAGGGATACAGGCTGGGCTCCCACCCTGACCACCAACAGATCTGGTGGGGGGGGGATGATTTTATTAGGTTCAAGGATTAAATTTTCAGATTATCCCATAAGATTCAGTGCAAAGAACTGCTCTACTCAAAGGCAGCAGTGGAGAAGTCCCTGAGTCCTGAGGGGCAAACAGCTCCTATGCAGTGGACATCCTGCAAATGCCCAACAGGACAAACCCCAGGACCCCATTTCCTCTTAATGACCTTCCCCTGCTTTTTTCCTTAACTCCTGTGGGCCCCCCACTAACAGCATGTCAGGGTTCAGGGCTGACAGTATGGAGCCCAGCTCTGAGTGCCCTGGGAAGTGGGAAGGAAAAAGGGGACGTGCAGTACACCTGACAAGCTTGGGGGCACATGGCGGCCTGACAAGCTCACTGACCAAAAGTGACCCCACGGGACGGTCTGACCACCAGATCCTAACCTGGCAGGTCACGGCAGGCAGTCCCACCCCAGGCCCACAGCTCCTCAGCAGAGGTCGGACTCTGCCTTATGTGAGCTCCGTCCACTGTTGTCATGTAGCTCGGACAACACACAGTCAGTGGGCTTCAGGCACCGTCCTTCCGTCTCCTCCTTTAATTCTAATGCATAAAATAAGCTGCAAAACTGCCATTCTCCAGAGCATTTGAGATTTTGCTTCCCAGCAATTGTTTGGCTCAAAGTCAAAAATTACCTACAGGTTTGTATGTTTCTTACATGGACAGCAGCAATGAGGGACCTCCCTGGCCTGCAGTGTGACCTGGCAGGGATCCGGTGTACAGCGCTGGTGCTAATGGGGCCCTCAGGGAGGCCCCACAGCCCAGCCCAGCCCAGCCCAGCGACTTACAGCACAAAGAGGTCCTCTTCACATGGGCCGTAGTCCCCCTCCACCTCCTGGGAGTACAGCAGCGTCTGCCTGTTGTGGGGAAGCACCATGAGACTCTGCAGGGCTGCAAGGTCTCTGTCATTGGCAAGGTCATCGTGAGGGCGTCCACACAGACCACTTCCACCCAGGAACGAGGAGGACCCAGAGCAGGTCCTCCATCCAAAGGCAGGGAGAGACGGGGCCGGACAGGAATAAATAGGACTGGGAGTCAAACCCTGGGTCCAGGGCCGGGTCTGGCCCTGTGTCACCTCAAGCAAGTGGCAATCTTTCCCATTTGCCCATCAGGTGGGATGCTAATGAGGCCACTGGTTGTGCAGGACAGTGAACTGCGGAGCATTATAAGGCAGCTCAGTGCTGTGGTATACACGCCAAATGCTCCAGGCCTGGCCTCTGCCCTGGACTTCGCAGATTCAAGTCCATCAGAAAGCAGCCCCTCCCCCCATGCGGATCTGCTGTGCTATCAGGAGGCTGTGCTGGGCCCCGCTTCGTCACCGCCCATCGCCCAGGCCTGCCATCTGCTCTGAGGGGAGGGGTGGGCTGGATGGGATGGCAGAGACCCCAGCCCAGGGTCCCACCTGGGGACATCTCCCCGAGGGCACTGCCGGGGCTGCCTGGGCTCTACCTCTGCTCGTTGAGCCGCCGGTACTTCTCCCGGTCGGCGCTGTTGATCTTCAGCAGGGGCTGCAGGTGGTCGTGGTGTGTCTTCACATTCTGGTTGTCCACGTAGACATCGTACAGCTCCCGCTTCTCCTCGAAAATCTTCTCCGTGGTGCCTGTGAGACCCGAGGGCAGGAGCTGGGACCCAGAGGCTGTCACCGAGGGTACCAGCCCACCCGCCAGGGAACAGGAGCTCAGGAGCCTGAGTCCTGAGAAGGGCCCTTGGGGAGCCGGGAGGCTGTGGAAGGTACTCGGGGCAGGGGCGTGTGGGCAGGAGGCGGGGAGGGCCCCGTACTCACAGGCCACATAGGACACCTCTACCTCCAGGCTCTCGATGTCAGCCACGTTCACATAGAAGAAAGGCTTGGACTCTGGAATGGTGCCCCCGAGGCCGGGCAGGGAGACGTTGGCCAGGCAGCAGCAGCAGTATACTGTGGGGACGGAGACGGTGAGGGGTAGAGTCTGTCCCTCCCAGCCCCTCCGCCTGCGAAGCCGCCGGACCTCTCTGAGCCCTTAGCCTCCAAGGATGCTATGGAGGGCTTTGCTCTATGCTGCCCAGGAGCCTGAGTAGCAGGTGGTCCTGATTCCAAGGAGGTGATGGGAGCCTGTTAGGTACCGCAGCAGAACTGAGGTCCTCAAGGCCACGCCAGTGATGGCCTACGAGACCCAGTGGGCAGGTCTGTCTTCCCCGCGCTAGGGCTTGCGTAGGACGGGGCACTGCTGACCTGACCTCCTCAACATTCCCGCCTACTATGACCTCCACCTTCTCGCCCCTTCCTCCTGACAGTCCCACCTCAGTCTCTTCTGTCTTCCTCCATATGGTTCACCTCTTGAGCTTCTCCTCTCTCCCTCTCCCCACGGATGCTGTCCATCATATGGTGATCAGCCCAACATTCCCCCAGGGTTCTGACCCAACTACACCAGTGCCCGGTGGACATCTGGAGAAGGCCTCACAGCACACACTCACCATGTCCAAAGTTCACTCTCATACCACCTGCTCCTCCTCAGTCCCCATCTGGTGGCCCCAACATCCTTATCACCCTAGACCCGTGGTCGGCAAACTGCGGCTCGAGAGCCACGTGCGGCTCTTTGGCCCCTTGAGTGTGGCTCTTCCTAAGCCTTAGGAGTACCCTAATTAAGTTAATAACAATATACCTACCTATATAGTTTAAGTTTAAAAAATTTGGCTTTCAAAAGAAATTTCAATCATTGTACTATTGATATTTGGCTCTGTTGACTAATGAGTTTGCTGACCACTGCCCTAGACTCTTCCTCCATTACAACCTCACACACATCAGAACCTTACAACCCAACCACACCCCAAATGCTGTCAAGCTTATCTCTTAACTACAATCCATCTTCTCTGTTCTAATCCAGACCCTTATCTGTCACGGGACCACTGGTACATCACCCAGTGCATTTTCTGCATTGCCATGAGTCCACGTTCTATCCAGATCCAACCAGGTCACTCCAGACTTAAAACTCTGGCCCCCTCCCTTGATATGGCCCAGACCCTTCTGAACTTAGTCAACAATGGAAGGACTCAAGCATTTGCCCTGGGGAACTCAGGAAGAGCCTCTGACATTGGCCTCTAGTTACCTCGATAGCACACGACACCCACAGGAGGGGGAGAAAATATCAGAATGCGCTTTCTAAGTAAGGCAAATTTCCAAAGAATGAGGATCTGTTCTCCAAAGAACTTAATAAACTGAGACATGCAGCCAGCTGGGTGTGTGATCTGAAAAAATAAAAAGGGAGGAATAGCTTGTTAGAAATGTCATTTTAAAAATATTCAAACAATAAAAACAATCACAATAATTCAAACACTTGGAGGCTGAATAGCATACTATTAAGCAGGGGTCCTCAAACTTTTTAAACAGGGAGCCAGTTCACTGTCCCTCAGACTGTTGGAGGGCCGGACTATAGTTTAAAAAAAAAACTATGAACAAATTCCTATGCACACTGCACATATCTTATTTTGAAGTAAAAAAACAAAACGGGAACAAATACAATATTTGTATTTGCATGTGGCTCGCGGGCCGTAGTTTGAGGACCCCTGCTATTAAGCAATGAGTGGGTTACCAAAGAGATCAAAGAAGAAATAAAAAAACATCCTGGAAACAAACGACAATGTAAACACACAATCCAAAATCTTTGGGACACAGTGAAAGCAGTCTTGAGAGGGAAGTTCATAGCATCACAGGCCTACCTCAAAAAACAAGAAATACTGGTAATAAACCATCTAACTCTGCAACTTGAAGAATTAGAAAGAGAGCAACAAGAAAATCCCAGAGTGAGCAGAAGGAAGGAAATAATAAAGATCAGAGTGGAAATAAATGACATAGAGACCAAAAAAAAAAAATACAAAAGATCAATGAAACCAAAAGCTGGTTCTTTGAAAGGATGAACAAGATTGATGAACCTCTAGCCAGGCTCACCAAGAAGCAAAGAGAGAGGACCCAAATAAACAAAATCAGAAATGAAAGAGGCAAAATAACAACAGACCCCACAGAAACACAAAGAATCGTAAAAAAATACTATGAGCAACTCTATTCCAACAAACTGGTCAATCTAGAAGAAATGGACATATTCCTACAAAAAATATTCAATACAGGCGGGTGTGAACCCCTCTAAAATAAACCCCAAAGTATAACCAAACAGATGCAGGTTACTTCCACATAAAGTGATAGTTTCCTCTTTCAAAGTCCCACCTTTAAATTAGATGCCTATCACTCAACAGCTCCCCTGACACACTGAAGTTTGAGTTCAAGGGTCACTAACTAGTTTACTCAGGAGAGATAGGTGCTGGGGAAACAGGACTGAACGAAACTTCTTAAAAGTCATAAATAGAAGTATCTGATGTGACCGTACACCCCAGCAAGAACATTTGACTCACAAACATTACTGGACACTGCAAGGTATAAAATGATGAGCAAAGGGTCCCAAATTAGGTCCCCAAATGTAGGGGACCCAGCTGCTGTGCAAAATGAGGTCTCTGCGAAGCCTGCTGGCCGCCTCTGAGCCCTCAGCCTCCAAGGATGCTGAGGGCTTTGCTCTGTGCTGTCCAGGTACCTGAGTAACCAGGTGGCCCTGCATTCTGAGGTCACCAGGAGGAAGACCCACAGGGCCTGCTGGCGGAACAGTCCACTGCACTTCAACTGCAACCATCACTCCTTTCATGGTAAACACAGGAGCCTGTCACTCGGTCAGTAAGGTACGGAGGCCCTCAGTCCAAAACCCTCAAGGAACTCAATGCTCCCAACAACTACGTGAGCTCAGAAGTGGGTACACTTCCCCAGTTGAGCCTTCAGATGAGACTCAAACCCTGACTGACACCTTAACTGTGGTCTCACAAGAGATCATGAAGCAGAGTACCCAGCTAAGCCGTACCTGATTCCTGACCCACAGAAACTGTGAGACGATAAATATGCACTGGTTTAAACAATTAATTTGGGAGCCACTGTTGGCCATGCCTTCCCTCAGTTTGGAGTCAGCATCCCTCACTTTCTGCCTATCCAAACACTTCTGGGATCACCTCCTCTTCCAAAAAGCCTTTCCTGATTTCTCCCTTAAACTCATGACATAATTTCTCTGTCAGGAAGCTCAAGGTTTCTGAAGTATCTTGTGACCACCTACAAGGTCACAAGTTCATAGTCATCTTTTTCCCTCCCAACACCTAACACTTGGCCAGGTGTTTGTTAACTGTAAACAAATATATCCTAGTACAAAGGCAAAGTACTTCAGAAAAAATACACAATAAAGCAATATGCAAAACACTCTAACAAAAAAATGTGATACCCGCTGTAACTCTTCATCGTTAGCTCAAATGTCTGACTTTAAAATGTCTGAATCAATAGACTCAAAACCACCTCTTTCCCCCCAAGAATCCACCCAGACTGGCCTATCAATACGATTTTGCACAAAGATTATGAAGGGTCTAGAAAGCACAGTGTTTACGGTAACTTGCTTTACGTTTTAAAAGAACCCAAATGCTAGTTAGCAATCCTCCTCTATCAAAAGTGGACGTTGGGCACGAGCCCAAGACATAAATTCCTTATTAATTAAAAACACAAGTAAGCACTACTGTATGCAGACACAAGCCCAAAATGTGCGAGAGTACAGCAGACCTCACCTTCATCTCTGGGTACATGTACCGGTGGATGGAAGGCAGCCAGTAGACGGGGGGCAGGCTGCCGCCCCTCCCGGGACCAGCATGGAGCACCCCTTTCTTGTCCTCGTAGAAGGCAGCCAGATGGGAGTAATGTCCTGGCATCTCCAATTGGTGTCTGCAAACAGGCACATGCAGGGTGAGATCGAGACCTGGTGGCTGCCACAGCTCTGTCTTTCACCCCCCACCACCTCCACCCCCACGTCCCCACCCCAAGGGCTGCAACACTTAGGGGCAAAGGCCCTGATAAACTGAAAAGACCCCTTTTCTGAGGTTGCCCAGGACGCCCCCTTGGGAATTACAGGAGAGCCTTAGGAAAAGCTCCAACATGGGATCTGATACTCCCTGACAGGTGGGGGACGCATTCCCCTGCTCACGGGGAACAGGCAGAATTCTCAGACTGTGACCAATGCCTATCGTTCCTGGGCGAGGTGTGCTGACCACTGTGCGGGACTTCCCAGAGCCTGGCTGTGGGCCTGAGAAGGGGGGCCTGGGAAGACCATGATCCCTGCTCTGAGCTGCTCTTTGTTGAGAAATCATGCTTGCGGCTTTGTTGTTTTGAGAGAATGAGAGGAAGCAGTGTCTCAAACAAGAGGAAACAATTATCGGATGTCACTAAGGGCTCAGAATTTCCGTACCAAGTAATGAATAAAAAGCTCAGAATCTCTTCCTCCCCTCCCGCCTTCCCCACTTGGGATGGCAGAGCCTGGTGGTGGGCAGCCCTGCCAACTGACCCCAAATCAAGAAAGTTGCCTGGAGGCCCTGGCCCACTTGGGCAATGGGGATTCTGCCTTCACGGTGAATGCGGGAGTGCAGGGAGTACTACTTGGCACTATGTTTAATGGGGGTGTTAAGAGTTGAACTGTGTCCCCACCAAAAAATATGTTGGAGTTCTAACCCCCAGCACCTCAGAATGTGACCTTATTTGGACACTAGTGACCTGGTGCACGGACTCATGCACATTGAAAAGAAATTAATTAGAAGGTGGCTGGTGGGGCAGGATTGGGCGAGACGGGCTGAATACGCCCTGGAGCCAACATCCCACGGTCCCTCCCCAGTGTCTTTGGAGTGAGCAGGGTCCCCCCGGCAGGTGGGGTCCCTTGGCCTGGCCTGAGGGGATAAGGCCGAAACCGGCTCTCTGACATCCCCCGAGGGGTCCCAGAGTGCGAGAGGGCACTCTGCAAAATTGCTATCATACAGCGGGTGGAACACAAACGCAAGTGCAGTAAACCAAATTCCAGGCCAACAGTGCCCCCAGCAACAACATAACCCATGGCCGAAGGTGGAATTGCGCGGCCCCGCGAGGAATCAGGCTCCCTCCTCTCTGGTTTTGGGGTGTGTCACCCGAAAACTGCCTCTGCCAAGCCACTGCAGCTTGGTAGCTCCTGCGTTGAGCATCTGCCTCCTGGTGGTCAGTGCACATCATAGCTACCAGTCAGACGGACACTTAGCATATTAGCCTTTTATATATATAAATAGGGTCTTCACAGATAATTAAGGTGAGTCTTAACCCAATGTGACTGGGTTCCTTATAAAAAGGGGAGATTTGGATACAGCCACGCACATGCAGGGAAGACGCCATGAGAAGATGAAGGCAGAGAGCAGGAGTGATCACCTACAAGCCGTGAAGGCAAGGCCGCCAACCCCACTCGGAGAGGCAAAGACACATCACCCCTCCCAGCCTCGCAGGAGCCAGCCCTGCCAGCACCCTGATTGTATTCTTTGGCCTCCGGACTGTGAGAAACACATTTCTGTTCTAAGTCACCCAGTTTTTGGTACTTTGTTAAGGTAACCCTAGGACACTGACATAGGGAGGAATAAAATAGGCACCTACACCTTTTCAGCCCATTTGTGCTTTCTCAGCACCCTACAATTTCCTCCCACTGCAACAAAAAGAATCCAAATCTAGCTTTATCGCGCAAGGGGAGGCTCCTCTAATTACGGCTGGAACATCGAAGACTAACACAGGCCACCTCCCCAAACTGTCACTGTTGCTGACCGCAAACGCTGACACAAACCACTAGACCCAAGACTTTCATCGTCCAACCAGCTCCACTCCAGAGTGACCAGCGGCCCCAGCCTGAGGCCAGGGCTGCCACTTCACCTTGAGGTCCCAGGCAAGTCACTACACTTTCCAAAACCCACTTTCTCTTTCCTTAAAATGCAGATGGTGCATTTCAGTAGACACCGGCACCACCTCGAGAGGGATTACTTTGAGATGTAAATGAAATGAAGTAGAAAAGGTGCCTCACGCCATTTGTGACACGTCAGTCATCAGTCACGCACACATCAGTCCCAGTGATCCTGCAGCGGCTAGCCAGGCACACAGGGAGGGCTCAGAAACCAGGGGGATGGGGAAGGTTCTGGGCAAGCCCAGGAGGAGACCTTCAGGCAAATTTACATTTTAAAAAGAAAAAAAAACATCAGCTCCATTCAATGAATGATTACTAAAATAGTGTCTCCTGAGTGACAGCTCTCTAACTCAGGGGTTCCTATACTGTCTGTTTTAAGCTTTGCCCAGGGTACTTATAATCACTTCTTTCACTCTTACAAAAACGTTCCTGTGGATGGGAAATCCGCAGTGACTCACTCAGTTGTGTTTGTCTATCTGAGCAGATGGCAGATTTCAGACACTCTTCAGGGCTGTGTGTCAAACTGAGGGAAGTTTGATGAATACAAAATAACCCAAAGACAAGATTACGTTCAAGGGTGTTTTCATTAGGACCTAATTTCCCTAAAGAGAAGAGTGAGATTCATTTACTGTTTTTTTAGTACTGTATTTTCCATGTTAATGGGGGTAATTTATGTAACGCTTTATTATTTTCTCGGTTCATTGGTGATTTGCTGCTCCGCTGACTGTTCTGTTTGGCTGCATTAAATGCTATGCTTGAACCAAGACTCTAAAGAAAAGCTGAGTCAGGGTCCCTTAGACAAAAAGCTGGCTTCAGAGTCCTGTCCTCTGACCGCCTCAGACACTCCCAGCTGATGGAATGGAGTGGGCAGGAATATGAAATGTAGAATATGAACATCGACATCAACACAAATTGGCAGTTCCTGCGTAATTGGTAAACAACTGTGGTAGGAAAGCCTCAAAATTTAAACACTATAGATTTTGTAATAAACAAGATTGATCATCAAACCATAATACCAAGATAAACTGAAAGGTGCTGCAACAAAGTTCAGTGCTAGAAGGTAAAGGGGGCATCAAAGATGCAGGAGACCTCCTGGTGATCTGACCTAGGAGGATGCACAGATTAAGAAACTACCACCATGCATCTATGCCAGTGATTTCCCAAAGTGGGCGCTACCGCCCCCTGGTGGGCGCTGCAGTGATCCAGGGGGTGGTGATGGCCACAGGTGCATTTGTTTTAACTTTTTTTGTATTACCTTTCTATTCTGAGTTCAATAGTTTCATAATTTCAAACTTCAATGTTTCTAATTTACACCTTTCTTTACTATATTTTACGAAAAAGGTAGAAACATTAATACATATATCTTTCTGTTTAATTGCTATTAAAATTTAAAAAAAATTAATTTCCAGGGGGCGCTGAGTAATATTTTTTCTGGAAAGGGGGCGGTAGGCCAAATAAGTTTGGGAACCACTGATCTATGCAGATGTCCAAGAGGCGTGACATGGTAAAAGCTGACGAGTAATTGACACAATACTAGTACATGCTACTGATATGAAGCTCAGGCTTCTGGGCCAGACCAAGGATCCCGGCAGGACCTTGGCACTGGCGGTCTCCAGAAACGCACAGCCCCTTCACGGATACGGACGTTTATGAGACCATGCAGACACCCACTGCGGCTCTCCCTGCCTTGCCCCACCACACCCAGCAACAAGGCACCCGCGTAAGAACGAGAGATGCTGCTGGGCAACGACTACACCATCGCTCGGGTGTATATGTATCTTCTGGCTTTGCAAGTGCAGAAAAACATGCATTTCCACGGACTGCTGGTGCAGGTCCAAACGGTACCATCTTCTGCAGGGTCACTTGCAATGTCTATTAAATTGTACACTGTATACACCCTTGACCCTAGGGCTCCATTTCCAGGAATGTGGCCTAAAGAGCTCCATATATGGATGTGAACAGTCATTTACCTACAGGGATGCTCGTAGTATAGTGGTGAAAAAATAAGAAACAATCTAGAAGCCCCCAAATGGTGAAACAGTTACATAAATTGTGATCATCTATATGCTGAAATGCAATGAAACCACCAAAATGACGGTGAGGACTCAGTTATAATATACTAAAAGGTTAGATAATTTAGATAGTAAATGACTTGGGATTTTAATTAACATGTATGTGCTTATTTATAAAAGGGCAAAAGACTAGAAGGATATAAATGTTAACAGTAGATATGTCCGGCTGGTGGTATCATGTTCTTTTTTTTCTTGGAGTTTTGTGTCTATTTTTCAAAGTTTTCTATGTTAAGTATATGCTAATTTTATATTTAGTCTTTTTAAACATTTTACTATGGAAAGTTTGAATTGTATGCAGAAAGTAGAAAGAAGAAAATAATAAACCCTCTATCCATCACTTAGCTTCAACTATGATCAATGTTTTATCAATATGGTTACATCTATATCCTGTTCCCCTCCACTCTTTTTCCTGAAATATTTTATAATATTTTACCCATAAATACTTTGGTGGGTATTTCTAATGGATAAAATCTAATTTAAAAATAGCACAATCACCATGCCATTATCTCACCTATGTTAATAATGATACCTTACTAAAAACTAATATCCAGTCCACATTCAAATTATACCAGCTGTCCCCAAAATGTCGTTTGAGTTGGCTGTATGAATCAAGATCTAAGCAAGGTCCCAAAATGTAGTGATGTATCTTAACTCTTTCACTTTACAACACTTCCTCTTCCTTTTCTCATTGTTTTATTATAAAGCAGCTCTCCAGCATCTTGGAGTTGTAGATAAACCACTAATAAGTAAGTTCGGGATATCAGAAATAAGAACGAATATAAAACAGAGATTAGGTGTTTTCAGAAATCAAGTCTGGTTAGTTTATATAAACGTCATGACTGCAGTCTAGTATCACCCCTGCCTAGACCTGGGCCTCCCTCATGATGCTTCTTTCTTTTCCTCATAGTCTCTCAAGTCTCTTGTTACCTCAAGCCCTCTTCAATCACCTTTCTAGCTATAACTCAAAATCTAAAAGCCAGAAAAAAAAAGATTAATGAATTCACCGAAGGAAAGAATCTGCATGACAAAAAAATGTTAGACAATAAATGACAAAGTAGAAAACTATTTTCAATTTATGTCACAAAGAACAAATCTCCCATTGTACAGAGAACTCCTATAAATTAATTTTTGAAAGGCCAACAACCCAAAACAAATGTATGGGAACAGTTCACAGAAAATACAAATGATTCAAACTCAACCTCACTTATAAAAATGTAGCCCAGATGGTGTGGCTCAGTGGTTGAGCATCGACCTATGAACTAGGATGTCACAGTTTCATTCCTGATTCCCAATTCCCAGTTGGGGCACATGCCCAGGTTGCAGGCTCAAAGCCGATCAATGATTCTCTCTCATCATTGAAGTTTATATCTATCTCCCTCTCCATCTCTGAAATCAATAAAAATATATTTTTTTAAAAATGCAAATTAAAACTACTCATGTACCTATCAGAATGCCAAAAATTCAAAGCTTTTATCTTTGTGTGGGCAATGTGGTGAGAAAACATCACCCCCTTAAATTACTGTTGGGCATGCAAAATGGTACAATCTCTACGGAAAGCAATGCAACAATCTCTCTTAACATTACAAATACATACCTTTTGAACCACTAGTTTTATTTCTGGGAATTGAATGTACACTGATTCTGCTGACTTATGAAATGATACTTGTTCATGGGTGTTCAGTGCAGTGTTATTTGAAATGGCAAAAGACTGGAAAGAACCAAGTGCCTATCAATACAAAACTTGACAAAGAAAACCTGGTTCTTCTATACAGGGCACCTTTACAACCATAAGAAACAAAAAAGAAACATCGTTGAAGATATGGAATATGAGAAGACCTCCCAAATACAGTGTTTAATGAAAGAGGCAAGGCACAAAACATGTAGAACATGTTCCTTTTATATGAAGAGGGGGAAGTGAGAATCTACATTTGTATTTGTATAGACACATACACAAGGTCTAGAAAAATACATGAGAAACTGACAGTGATTACTGGGACAATTGGATGGATGGGGGAACTGGGTAACAACTTAATTGTTTGCTAGTGGTAGAGACTGCCATTCTCTTCTCCCTTTAGTAATAGGACCTTCCAAATTTTAGCTGCTCACATGGCCACCAAGCTTAAGACCACATTTCCTAGACTTTCTGGCTGTAAGGTGTGGCTAGTAATTAAGATGTGGCCAATGAAATTCGAGCAGAAGCAATGTGTTCCTGGGACACACGACATCCTAATGATCAGCAGGCTTCTACCATGCGGATGAAGACAATGCTCTAGAAGATGGCAGAAGACAAGACAGGAAGACCTAGGTCCCAGGATGACCCAGTAGAACACAGCCCCCTACCATCCAGGAGGGCTTCTCCCTCTCTGGGACAATCATGCGAAAAAAAGAGCGGTATTTCTATCTTGTTTGATTCGCTGTATATTGGATCTCACAACTGAGAGCTAAGAACTGAGGGGATTATAATTATAGAACTTTATGTAATAGATATTGCAAACTATAAAAATTGAGATGGGAAGCAGGGGAGAAGAGCTGGGAAAAAGTAGAAGATAATGGACTCTGTCAACAGTTGAAATGCAATTTAAAAACCAATGACACCTATACAAAGATTTCTGCACTTTACTGTACATGTTATTACTCAATAAAAATAAGGATGATGCTGTATCTTCATGTTTTTCATCTTTTTTCTTAACTTTGGAGGAATAGATCAAGAAATAAGATATCTTATTGTGAAAAAATATATATTCTCTTAGAGTCTGACAATTCCTTCAGTTTCATTTATTCTGTTCCTAATAGATACAACTAAAATTAAATATATTTCATGAAAACAGCCTATTTGTTATATTAAATCCTCATAAAATACTAATACCATCTTTATAAAATTATTTCTATTTTACAATGGCATTCACTGCATATTGAGAATGGATATCTCTCTGAGTGGGGAGATTTTTAAAAATGGACATCTCTGAGTGGGAGAACTTTAAAAATTCATTTGTACTTCTATATAAGTTTTTAAATAAACATGTTTTCCCCCCCACAAACAATAAATTTCATGTTGTTTCAAAGATAATGATCAAGAGAGATTGTTATATAAAAAAATCAAAATAATGATAAATTTAAAAAATGCAGGAGATAAAAGTGTATGTATGTATATATATTGTATGATGCCAAGGATATATTTTTATAGTATACACACACACACACACACACACACACACACACACACCAGAAAGGAGGCAAATGTACTAAAATTTTAACAGCGTTTTAAGGATTAGGAATAGATTTCTCCCTCAAAATCTGAAATGAAATTGGAGTACTTATAGAATGAAAAAGAATGTTAAATGACTAATAGTTTTGCTGCTTCTGCCAAAAATTCCCTTCCTATTACCCAAGTAATAATAATTACTCTAAATAAATGATTAGGCTTAAAAAAATTAAGAGTCTGTTTGCCTCCCTGGGGCAAGAGGTTATTATCGTGGCTCCAGGAAACAAAGGTCATGTACATGGCAGCAAATGAGGCAAAACCTACCCCAGCTTTCATTATAGTATGAAGAATTATTAGGTGGTACCTTAGCTGAAACAAAAAGACCACCACCTGAGGCATGAAACATGGTCGAGGATGTTCTTGGAAAGACATCTGTTGCTTTGGCACACAACCGTGATCGCCAAGGGCTCATCAAGACACCAGCGGACAGATCCCTGCTGCCTCCCCGCACGTGTATCTAAGCCACGTACCGAACCTGGTTCTCCAAGAAGTGCATGTAACGGTAAAGCAGGGTGTAGGACGGAGACAGGATGCCCACAGACTTCATGCGTGCTCCCCGCTCCAGCTCGCTCTCCACCGGCATGTTGGCGAAGCAGGCCAGGCCGAAGAAGGGGCCCTTCCGGAAATAGCTAAAATGGACCAAATAAGCAGTGTGGTTCACAATCAGAGAGAGAGAGAGATTTTATTTTGCTTTGGTTTTTTTCATTTGAGATGCCCAAGAAAAGAAAAAAACTGTGTCCAGAGCTCTTTGTAAGAAAGCTCAGCCTAAAAATAACATCTTTTTAGGATCTCAGGGGAATAATTAGCCTAAGCTACTCAACCTCCCAAACGAGACACCCAACCTCTAAAGAAATGATGGAGCTCGCCAAGGGGCATCCAGCTGGAGCCAGGACTGATCTCTGGCAAGCCTGCTACCCAACTGCCCATGACCATGAATATGTCCCTTCTCCTCTCCTGCATAACTAAGGACCTGATGGAAGACCTAGTACAAAGATTCGTCTCCAGGCCTGTCTGGAACCAGCAATCCGTGTCATCAGCATAAACAGTGTTGACTCTTTCCTCACTTCCTGAGGCTCTGATCTAACAGAGCCTGTGACCAGAGCGGCTACATTTCCTTCCTCTTTCTCACACTGCATCAGTCATGGGTTCAGCCCAGGGGGAAGATTAAAGCTACTGCATTACGCTCATGTTCTCTCCCTTTGCTCCTTCTCCCAAGAACCTTAATTACACAGGACGATAACCTGGCTGACTTAAGGCTGGAATTTCAAGCTTTAGCACATAAATATCTTGAGTTAACTAAAACTAAACCAAAACTCCATGTTTTCATTAAAGCCAAACCTCAAGTGAGGGCCAATAGTTTTTTAGAAAAAAACTACAGTAGAAACTCTTAACTTCTTTGGGTCACAAAACCCATTGAAACCCCAATGAAATGTAAGGACCTTCTTGCTAGAAAAATAATATAAATGCAAAACTATATATATTTTTTCAGGGCATTTATACACGCCTCCTGAAGACCCCCTTATGCTCGGGCGAAGTACAAGGTGGAGAGAAAATGAAGAAGACTTACATTCCGAAGTACTTACATGAAATCAGACTGGATTTTATGGGACCCACTGGCCATAGACTTGAACTCAACGCCTTCAAGGTCAATATCTTGAGGTAAACACCATTCCACCATGTTTCCTGTGGGGAAGGGAGAACACAGTTAAAAGAAGCAAGGTCATTCAAAGAACAAGGCTGAGTGCAGGGCTCAGCACAGCTAGCACCACAAGAAACAAACACAGTAACTTGTTAAAACTTTAACTTACCTACATTCTGTACTGTGTAGGTACAGAAAAATACTATACAAAGTGCTCTCATAACTATACAGCTCAATGGATTTTCCCAACGTGCATACACCTGTAACCAGCGCCAAGACCAAGATGCAGAACAGATCTAACAGATCTGCAAGTCAGAAGCCTCTCAAGCCCTCTCCAAGTCACCAACCCTCTCCTGACTTCCAACACCATGCATCAGTTTTTGAAATTTTTATAAATGTGATCATCGTGTGTGATCTCTTTTGCTCAGTATTTTTTTTTTTTTGCAAGATTCATTCACATCGGTGCATGGACAAGTACTTCCATCCTATGCATATAACACTGTTTATCTACTTAACTGTTGATATACATTTAGCTCATTTTCAATTTAATGCTATTACAAATATCACTGCTGTAGACTGTCTGGTGGATACAATTGGAGGCAGAACTCCATTGCTCAGAACTCCTTTCCCTGTGTGTTTCGGGTCCACATGGGAAGGTGGAAGTGAAGCAGTAGCTGTGTTGTATTCACAACAGAAGGTGGTGCAGGAGCACCCAGGCAGCTCCCAGTGTGGGGTGCAGCCAGGCCTGCTGAGGCCACCCTCCCCTGGATCCACCTCCTCGGATCCTCTACCAGCTCTCTGACTCACGAGCCAGGAGGGTGTTTAGTTCCATAATGCTGGGCGTTAGCTTCACCAGGACACTCACCTAGTGACGGGCTGACCCAGGTTCCCATCCATCCTCATCAATTCCACATTGTTCACTTTCTCCCCAGTGTTACCGCCTTCTTCCATAACTGCTCACTAGTACACTCTGAGCTCCATGATCACACACAAAGACGACAGCCGTACACAGTATCTAACCAGCTCCCACACTGTGCAACACCACATTCCTGAAATAAATCCCTGTATGTATCTCCCAGTGGTTCTCTCTTGGATTAACCTTTGATTGACACAAGAAACACACATTTCTGTTGACTACATCACGAGAAGAAGTGCTGTAAAAATGCTCGCATCGCTGCAAACTAGAAAACGTCAATAGTTCCCCAAGTAGTGTTTCCCAAAGCTTAGGTTGACAGGGCTTCTGCAAAAAATAAAACAAGTTTTTAAAAAGGGATTTGCGCCAAACAAGTTATATAAAGATGGACAGGACACATTATTGCAGAACTTCTCAGAGCCTTTATATGTTACTCTGCACTGTGAATCTCTATGAAATGAATACAGTGTTCAACGTTTCCACAATTATTTGGCCAATAAACCTATTTTTAAGGGGCATCTAAGGGACATTTTATAGACATGCTAGTAGATAAGGGGCAGCAAGTAGGCCCTTGGCATCCATTCTTCCTTTTTCCTAGGAAACAGACCCTCTACGTTTAGCTTGGCACGTGGCCTTCCAAATGATAATTACGTTCCTCAGTCCCTTCTTGCATATACGTATGGCTGTCTACGTAAATTCTAGACATCTCATCTACTCAACCAATGAGATGTAGACAGAAGTGAGGTGTGTAGTTTACAAAATGTGGCTTAATGGGCAGGAGAATGATGCCCCTTCCTCTATCCTGCTGCTGGGAATGTAGAGATGGGTACAAGCTATTCTGAACCATGAGGGTGACAGCGTCCGCCTACTTGTCATGGAGGGGAGGATGGAGCAAGAGCCACTGTGAGTCTAGGTCCCTGGATGACCTCATTGGGTCTGAGCCAGCATTCCCACCCTGGGCCAGCCACCTGCGATCTTGATCCAACCACTCTTAATTTGGGTCTGGTATTCATGGCTGAACCCATGTTTTATCTGATGCAGCTGACCTGTGGAAGTAAGCAACCATCCTCAGCCCGGTTCTCAAAGCCTCCCTCCTCGTTCCTCTTTGCTTGGCCTTGCCTCCTCGTACAGAAACGGAAAGAATCAGATAGACTAATGACATCCTGTTCACATCTAGACAGACGCAAGCCCGTCAGGGCTGGGCAGAAAGGCACGTCAGGCTGAGGAACCAGGGAACAGAGCGCAGGCTCCCGAGCAGCACTCGGAATAGTTCCTTATCCACAGGGAGGGTATTCCTGCTGACACCCTTCTGGAGTGAAGGGAGGTAGATAAAGCTACTGCGGCCCTCATCCCAGCCTATCACCTCTGTCTTAGATGTCTGTCTCCCCAGGAGTCTGAACTTTTATTTTTTTAAAAAATATATTTTTATTGGTTTCAGAGAGGGAGGGAAGGGGGAGAGAGAGAGAGCGAGCTAGAAGCATCAATGATGAGAAAGAATCATTGATCGGCTGCCTCTTGCACGCCCCCATTGGGGATCAAGCCCGCAACCCGGGCATGTGCCCTTGACTGGAATCAAACCCGGGACCCTTCAGTCCGCAGGCTGATGCTCTATCCACTGAGCCAAATCAGCCAGGGCAGGAGTCTGAACTTTAAAAAAAAGTTTTTATTAATTTGAGAGAGAGAGGGAGAGGGAGAAAGAAACAGGATCAAACCAGCAACCTCGGTATGTATTTCCTGACCGGGAATCAAACCCATGACCTTTTGGTGCATGGGATGACACTCAACCAACTGAGCCATACCAGCCAGGGCAGGAGACTGCATTTCTTAAAGGCAGGCACTTTGCTTATTTATCTTCACATCCCAACAGCACAGTGATTAGTACAGGACAGGAATTAAAAGCAAAATAAAAATAGAAAAAAAAAAAAAAAACCTCAGCTTTATTGAGGACAGGCATGTTTTTTGATGAATTAATGTTAATTACCCTATGGCAGTGGTCGGCCAACCTCGGCTTGTGAGCCACATGCGGCTCTTTGGCCCCTTGAGTGTGGCCACGAAGTTTCAATCGCACTGTACGTGCGCGCCAGCACGTGGTATTTTGTGGAAGAGCCACACTCAAGGGGCCGCAGTGTGCCGACCACTGCCCTAGGGTCAATAATAGTGGTTATATAGGTAAATGTCCTTCTTCTTAGGGGGCTTATACACAAGTACTTAGAAGTGAAAAATCACCATTAACTTTCAAAAAGCTCAGGGGGAGAAAAGGTATATCTGTATATAGTAAGTTCTGATATAATGCTGACTTTGGGTAACACAACTGATATATTAGGAAGAATTTTAGCAGAGGAAATTTCACATTTGCTTATGCTATAGACTCAAGGCAATTTCCATCAAAACCTCAGCAAGTTATTTTGTGGACATTGACAAATTAATTCTAAAGTTTATATGAAAAGGCAAAAGGTCCAAAATAGCCAACATTATGCTTAAGAAAAACAGTCAGAGGACTGATACTATCCAATTCTAAGACTTACTATAAAACCATGGTAATCAAGACAGTGTGGTATACAAGGGAAACAAAAGGAAAAATGGAAAGGAAACTACACCAAACTAAAGCTTTGCACAGCAAAGGAAACCATCAAGAAAAGACAACTCACTGAATGGGAGAAGATATTTGCCAATGATACACCTGAGAAGGGGTTAATATCCAAAATTTACAAAGAACTCAAATCAACACCAAAAAACCCCCCAAACAATCCAATTAAAAAATGGGCAGGGGACCTGAATAGACACTTCTCCAAAGAGAACATACAGATGGCCAATAGACATATGAAAAGATGCTCAATGTCTCTCTCAGAGATGCAAATTAAAACCACAATAAGAGCCCCAGCCTGTGGCTCTGCTGGTTGGAGCATCGTCCCATATACCAAAAAGTTTATGGGTTCAATTCCAGGTCATGGCACATATCTGGGTTGTGAATTCAATCCCCAGTTGGGAGGCAACAGATCAATGTCTCTCACATGAATGCTTCTTTCCCGCGAGGATTAAAAACACACACACACAAAAAAAAACCTACAATGAGATATCACCTCACACCTGTCAGAATGGCTATCTACAATGAGATATCACCTCACACCTGTCAGAATGGCTATCATCAATAAATCAACAAATAACAAATGTTGGCGAGGATGTAGACTGGTGTAGCCACTATAGAAAACAGTATGGAGTTTCCTCAAAAAATTAAAAATGGAGCTGCTCTATGACCCAGTGATCCCACTTTTGGGTATTTATACAAAGAAACCCAAAACAATAATTTGAAAGAATATATGCACCCCTATGTGCATTGCAGTGTTATTTACAATAACAAGATATGGAAGCAACCCAGGTGCTCATCAATAGACAAGTGGATAAAAAAGTGATGCTATATTTACAATATGGAATATTACTTGGTAATAAAATCTTATCATTTGCAACAACATGGATGGAACTAGAGGATATTATGCTAAGTGAAATAAGTCACACAGAGAAAGAAATACCATATGATTTTACTTATACTAGAGGCTTGGTGCACAGATTTGTGCACTGGTGGGGTCCCTCAGCCTGGCCTGTGCCCTCTTGCAATCTGGGACCCCTTGGGGGGTGTCAGACTGCTGTTTTTGACCTGATCCCTGCAGGCCGCAGCTGCACTCACCAGCCGTGAGCCCGGTGTCTGGCAGAGCGGTGCTCCCTCTGTGGGAGCACACTGACCATGAGGGGGCAGCTCCTGCATTGAGCGTCTGCCCCCTGGTGGTCAGTGTGCATCATAGTGACCAGTCGACTGGTCATTCATTTGGTCACTTAGGCTTTTATATATATAGATGTGGGATCTAAAGAAGAGAAAAAACAAACAAAACTGAAGCAGACTCATAGATACAGAGAACAGAGTAATGATTGCCACAGGGGAGTAGGGCTGGGGGACTGGGTGAAAAGGGTGAAGGGATTAAGAAGTACAAATAGTCACAAAAGAGTCATGGGGATGTAAAGTACAGCATAAGGAACAATGATATTGTGCCGACTGTATATGTATGGTACCAGGTGGGTGCTTGGGATAACAGGGGGAGCACTTTGTAGGGTATATGAGTGTCTACTAAGCTATACTCCTGCAACGCTACAAAATAGTATTGAATGTA